AAAAAAAAAAAGCTTTGGAAGAAGATTGTAGCCAAGGAAAGAAAACTGCAAAGAAACCTTATCAACTCATTTATCCAAGCCACAAATATTACGATGATGAAAGAAGATTGTAACTAAAGAAGAGAGTGATTTACTGCGCTGGGAAGGAGAAGAGAGTGGAATAAACAACTGAGAACCGGTCACACAAATACTGATTTTTTTGTTGTTGTTGCTGTTTTGGTTTTCTTCTTTTTCCTTTTTTTTTTTCCCTCTCTCGTGCGTGTGTGCAAGAAGGCAGTTCCCGGCGAGGAAGTGCAGTGAGCGCGAGGCAGAGCTCCGTGGGCGCTGTGCCGGCGAGGCGCGCGCCTCCGTCGGCGCCGGCGAGGCTCGGCCGTGCCCGCGCGGGCGCTCCCCGGCTGCGCCGCCAGGGATGGATGAGCAGTCCAGGATGCTGCAGACTCTGGCCGGCGTGAACCTGGCTGGCCACTCGGTGCAGGGGGGCATGGCTCTGCCTCCTCCCCACGGACACGAAGGGGCAGACGGCGACGGCAGGAAGCAGGACATCGGCGACATCCTCCATCAGATCATGACCATCACTGACCAAAGCCTGGATGAGGCACAAGCAAAGTTGGTTTCGTCTAATTAAACCTTGTCTTTTTTTTGTGTGTGTGGTTTTTGTTTCTCTCCTTCCTGCTCCTCTGTGCAGACTCGGAGTCTCACAATTAGAGCAACTTCTTAACGCTGTCGGGGAAATTGCAAGCAGCGCAGGCAGAATCAAAGTTGCTATTTAATGATTTTTTTTAAGCTATATAAAATAAATACAGGAGCAGGCGATGCTTATGCCGTTTTTCTGTTGCATTTTGCTGCACTGGTGCGCGGAGGGCTGTTGCTGCTGTCCCCACTCTCGTTTCCGTGCCTGGGGACGCTGCCTGGCTGACCCCGCGCGAAGCCCGCTCCCGCGGCACCTCTCCGTGCTGCGGGGGGCCGCGGCTTCTCGCTAGCAAGTGTAACTTTCTGTCGTTCCTGCTCTCTGCCCCCGGCGCGGCGGCAGATGAATTACAAAGCTGACAAGATATTGCTGCAGGGGGAAAACCCTCGCTGTTTTAAATCACAGTAAATACAAAACAAAGAATGTGAACTCGGGAAGTTGGCCCTTCTCCTTAATAAATCAGCTCTGCTATCGCGGAGAGGAGCGGGGCGGGCGGTGACTTATGGGCGCGGGGGCCGCGCGGCGGCGGCGCGGGCCGATGGCGCGCGGGGAAGGCGCGGGC